CCAATCGAGAATTTGTGGAAAGAACTGAAAACTGCTGTTCACAAACGCTCTCCATCCAACCTCACTGAGCTCGAGCTGTTTTGCAAGGAGGCATGGGCAAAAATTTCAGTCTCTCGATGTGCAAAACTGATAGAGACATACCCCAAGTGACTTACAGCTGTAATCGCAGCAAAAGGTGGCGCTACAAAGTATTAACTTAAGGGGGCTGAATAATTTTGCACGGCCAATTTTTCAGTTTTTTATTTGTTAAAAACGTTTGAAATATCCAATAAATTTCGTTCCACTTCATGATTGTGTCCCACTTGTTGTTGATTCTTCACAAAAAATTACAGTTTTATATCTTTATGTTTGAAGCCTGAAATGTGGCAAAAGGTCGCAAAGTTCAAGGGGGCCGAATACTTTCGCAAGGCACTGTAAGTCAACCCTGCAGCCGGCTCATTCACTGCTGGGTTACAGTTATTGATAGACAAATGAAAGCCTTCTGAAGCACAGACTCGCCATGAAGCAGTTGGACTGAACATGGTTCAGTGTTCTGAAGCATCTGACACAGTCAAAAATGGGAAACATCTGCTGTGGATAATCCTTAATATTGCATTTGCATATAGGTGAATTAAGTCTGAGACTGTGGCTGTGTCTCATGTCTCTTATATGATAGTTCCTCGCTCCTCTAGGGGTCGACTTCCAGGTTGAGCAAAGATCGAGGATGTCCCAGGACTCTAATGTGTAGTCTGAAGAGCAAAGAGGCTGCTGGAGGAGCCATGAACAAAGATACCTGAGAGCATCATTCACAGAAGTCTTTTATGGGCTGACACACACCTTTATTGCCAATTGGATTAAGTGAGGCACTGAAATGTCATTGTGATACTTCTGCGTTAAAAGGTTGATACTGCGTTGAATAGCCTAGTCAAGCGTGACATTACTTGCAGGCTGAATAGTTTGGTTTGATTTTATTAAATCAGAATCAGATGTAAATGGGATGTGAGTGCTTCTGACTCTCTGTAAGGTCTGTGAAGGCTGCTGGAAACATTCTAAACTGTAGGTGAATCCCAATTCCCTTATTTTATCGTTCCTCGATCCCCACTCAGCCCAGAAGTCGTTCCGGTCCACCATGATAAATGACATACTGTTGCACCTATTTCTGCTCTGTGGAGCGAGGAGGCTGACTG